GCTATTTCTTGGTTTCTGATGCACAGTGGCTGCTGGGGGATTAGAGTGTGATTGGCACTTGGATCAGAAATAGATCTGAAAGCCACAAAGAACATCACACCCCGGTACTGGAGGTGGAGAGCCAAGTTTAATTAGTGAGAACTTACCCACATACATCCTGGCAGATATGCAAACACACACATACAATCAAGAACTTTTTCTTGGATCCTAACACATCCATAAACACACTCCGATAGCCGCCCGCCCCCCCCAAAAAACATACACAAACTCAGTCACGCAGCAACATTGTCACGATTATGTAAGTGTCAGCTTTGGAGTCTGAAAGCTTAATTGCCAATGTCAGGCAAGGCGCATATGTGTGTTTAAATCTAGCAGTGTGAGTCAGACTGTCAGTGATATAATCAGCACCACTGACATCATCTTATTCCCTGAGACTGCAGAATATTAACTTTCTGACAAGTTTGGAAGAGATAAATGTTATGTGACTGCGTTATGCTGGATCTTATAGTAATGATTTTGTGGCTTTGATGAGATGTTAGGCAGTCTTAACTTAGTTGAGTGAAATAGTAGACTCGCTATTTATTCATGATGAGAAATGGCTGTGACTGTTTATTCAGTCCAACACTTTGCCTCCCCAGGATTTCCAACCATTACTACTGGAGCACCTGCACCATCCCACTGAGCCCACTACTGTAAAAAAATCTGAATCATTCCCAGCTGCACCATGGATTTCTGTCCATATTGTAACCCATATGGATTTTTCTTAATCAAAAGAAATGCAACTGTAATTCCCACTATTTAATGAAAAAGCTTTTAAAAAGTATTAATGAAACACCAGTCAGCCAGAAAAAAACTGCTTCAGTTTGATGCAGCGAGAATGATTTTCATCAGAGTAGCAGTGATAGTTACCATTTACAGATCAGATCTGGATACAGTGCCAATGTATTTATTATGTTAATGGTGGAGGAAGACTGAGGAAGTAGAAATGTTACCCATCTCATATCTGAAAAGGGCTATACTGTATTCTATACTGTATCCCCCCCACACACACCCGAGACAGCCCTAAACACCACCTGACTTTCAGCTTTGACTTTAGATTGTAAACATCCATATCAGATCAGATCAGTAAATATCCTATGTATAGAAAATCTACATTTCTGACACTATTTATCTTCTATAAACATGGAATTCTTAAAAGACCATAAGAGCTAAGTCACTATAGTTGCTGTTTCACCTTGAGTACAGTGTGCTATAGTACAGAGCTAAACATAAAAACCAAAATGTGTTCCTGTCTTAGTATTTCTGAACTGCACTGTATATCCTAGGGTACCCCCAACATGCTGAATTCCTCACGATTCTCCTCGGTGCCAATTCCACTTCAGCACTTCATTCCAAATCTCATCCGTACATGTATTTGCAAAGCAGACTGACATAATGTAGCTGCCAGTTTCCACCATTCTCTGGGCTAGATTTTTAACAATAACCTCTTTCTTATTATTGCATCATTTGCATTAATTTGCAATAGTGTCATTGACATCAATGCATGATTTATAGTAAGGTCAATAGCATGAGTGAGGAACAGCATCCAAAAGGAGCTTTCTGAGCATATTTGCATATCTTCTTATTTTACTGTCTTCCTTTGACTTAATGTTTTGTCTCTAGCACACTCTCCTCACTTACACAGACACACTCACACCTTTGTGCATGGATAAACAGGTAAATGTTAATTCATGTTACAGTATACAGTACGTGCATTCATACATACAGTACGTGCATTTTACTGGCATTTTTAAGCTCAAAACCCGCCTTCATGTTGTCTCATAAGCTCCGGTTCATTGGGGGTGTTTTCTACCCCATTCCTGTGCGTTGACCATGCCACTATACATGCAGCAGACGCAAGAATAAAAATGTAGTTGCTTTGCTGCAGTTACACTATGACAAAGAAACTGATGATTATTATGAATTTAGTTAGGGAAAGTTGCCCCTATCCGGGCAGGTCAGAGGTCAGGATCAGCAAACCAGGCATCAATCTAGGTTTTTGCTAGGCAAAGAAGTTTTACCCACCAAAGCGTCCATAGTAAAACTGGGGGTCTTGAACAGTTGTTGTACTGCACTAGACTTTACAAATTCACATTGTAGTAGGACATATGAACTTTTTATGGCTTTGTTTTTCACTAGGTGTGTGACATAAATGTCAGGATATAAAGATGGCCACATTATAGAGGAGCCAGTATGAAGGGACACAGGTAAAGACTAAAGCAATAGCTTACCATTTTGAGAATTACACAATGAGAATATTATTACCAAACTCATATCTGTTTGTTAAATATGAAGATGCCAATTAGCTTAGCATAGCATAATGATAATACACAGCTGGCCTGGTTCTGTTCTAACCTAAAATAAATGCCCACTAGCACCTTTAAAGCTTACTAGTAATTTGTACTTTGAAGTTGAAGTGTCAAAATAGCAAGTTGTGGATTTTACAGGTGGTTTTGTGCTCGACTATTTCCTGGTTGGAGCCATGAAACAGACGACTTCACACTTTATAGGTGCCTTAGAAAGCGGTACCAAGGTGAAGTTGCCTTTATATACACTGATAGAAAAGAAACACATTTACAATGTTTTTTGTGACAAATTTATACTTTTAAATGCATACAAACGTAATAGTCACATATACAGTAACACATATTTCACTATGGAATACTGACAGACACACAAGCTCACATACACACTTTGAGGTTGGTTCCCCAGAGACCTTAGTGGGTGAAAGTCCCTGACAGATAAGCATTTCTATGACTGAGTTGACCTACACAGTCAGCCTTCTGATCAGCAGACTGGAAAAATAGCATTACAAACCAACTCATCCCCTTCACACGCTCACAGATATTTACACAAAAACATTAACACAACCACAAATGCTCATATCAGGAAGTACACACACTCTCACATAAACAGACACACACAGACAGTGCTAATTGCTGCAACCAGAATTAGCAGAAGGAGAGACATCCAAAAAACACTGAATGGCAGATGAGACAGAATCACTGACGGAAGCAGAGAAGAGGCACACAGAGAAAGGGAGAGAGGAAAATATAGGTTTGTACAGGAGGAGGAATTATGTGACGTTTGCACTGAAGAGGTGGTGAGGAAGGCCAAAGCTTCATCATCTCCCTGGAGTGCGTCCGGTGGTGGTACCTTTATTATGCATTCAGCTCTTTCACAAAAAACACACACCCCTCAGAAAAAACAGCCTACTTCAGCACACAGCCTAACCTTAGTGGTGTGTGTGTGTGTGTGTGTGTGTGTACGTGTGTGTGCAAGAAAACTGAGTAATATTCAGGAGATCAGCAAAAAAACATTAAGGCCACTTAAATTATGCTGCAAGTTGAAAACATGATCGAGTTGATTAATCAAGATGAAGTATTCACCGAGTGTGATCATGATATCCATCGGTACTGACAGTACCAGCAATTATTATACCTCAGTCATTAGACAGTACCATTCAGGTTTATAGAATTAGTCAGTAAAGAAATAAAGGTAATTATCAGAAGCCATGATAGCTAATAGCTCCAGTTTTATTACCTCTGTGTGTGTGTGTGTGTGTGTTGTTTAGCTGGATTATGGACAAATGGCTGGATGGATCATCAGCATACTTGATACATCCATTGGTGGGGACCAACCCTAAAATGTGATGAAAAGGTCAAAAGGTCACAAAAGTCCTTGTCTTTAACAAAAGGCGACATTTTTAAAATTCTTATCTCTGTCAGAAGTTATCAAAATCATTTGAAATTTAACAAACATAGGTAGTAGGGTGGCAATGTCTATCACCAGACAAAAATTTCATCCAGATTGTTACCCCGTGTGTACCCCACCTCCCGCCCAATGCTAGCTGGGATTGGCTCCAGCCCCCTCTCAACTCTGTTTAGGAATAAGCAGCACAGATAATGGATGGATGCATTTAAAGTACCTGCCTTTGCTGAGGTCATGTCATTATTAAATTGACATCTGTATTGTTTGCTTTTCTATCTTTTCTGCCAGTGTCAATGTCTATAAAATGCTTACGTGTCATTTTTGCATGTATATTTGCATTTTGTGTGTGAACAAGTTGCATAGCCTGTGTTTATTTACAACTGGGCTAAATAACTGATTAGTTGTAACCACTAACACACAGCAATCGCCTCACCACAGACTTGTACTGCAAAGAGGAAAACATCACAGTAACACCAGTGGGTGGAGTCATCCACAGCCCACGCTACCCCAACGCTTACCCTCGCAACGTGCTGTTGTCATGGAAACTGCTGTCACCACCACGGAGCCGCATTCACCTGGAGTTTGACGGACACTTCGGCCTGGAGGAGACTGAGAATGGAGTGTGCAGGTAAAACATCAAACATAAAGGGACGAAAAAAAAAACTGAGGGAGTGGAGAGAATGAGAGCAGAAGATTGACGCGAGTAAGCCGGATAACACAAAGTGCCTTTAGGAGGAAAAAAGACAAAAGAACAGAAAGACAATACGTGAATAGAGGAAGGTACCAAGAGGAATTACCAGCTGCTGCAAAGGAGAAAAGTCAGATGATGGTTTGGAGTGACAAAAGGGAGAAGAAAAATTATAAAGTGAAATGGTATACAACTGTACAATATGTGAAACAGGTTTGATAATACACATGAAAAATAAAGTGAAAGATGTGAGAGAAGAGAATATAAAAACGTAGGGGGTGGAATCAGAGAGGGATGGATAGCTAGCTAGTTTGCTTTCTTCTTGGCAAGAAATATAAGAAGTTTCTCCTTGAGTGCTGAGGGGAGAAAATAGACTTTTTAATCCCTATATGCAAGTCAGCTGTCTTTGTAAGTGCTGAAAAGACAAGGGGGAGCAGCTGGGGTGGGGTGTAGGAGATCAGAAAAGGAGGGGAAAATGAGCTTTGCCCAATGCTTCATATCTTGTTTGTCAGATTGACTGTGTGTGTGTGTGTGTGTGTGTGTGTGTGGGGTCGATACTGTAGAAGGGCTCATTAACTGGCTCAGGCACTGATAGAACATTTAGTTCAAGTTATTCCAAATTTTCCTCACAAAACACTAACTGACGAGTACTTGGGCAGGATGGCGTGGTGGTTACAGAATCATTGTCTTGTAACAGGTTGATCCCCAGAGCTGAAGTGTCTAACTTGTGCTCAGGCGTAGCCAAATGTACACAGTACTCCTAAAGGCAAATCACAGTTTATTACAAAGTGGTTTCTATTTAGCATGGCTCTAGGGAAGCTAATATTGTTCTGTCAATCAGCTGTTCAATCTACATTACCAGTTTCACACAGACAGTAACAATCCACAGGAGGATGAAGCCTTATGATGTACCCTATTGATTATAGTGATGTCTTGAGTTTTCCACTAGCACAATCATCAGGTCAAAATGTTAATTTGGCTAAAGAGAAAGACCTTCACATGAAGCGTAACTGTACTTTGGGTTTAGCACTAAAATAAAACACAGTGAGTGAACACCAAAGGTAGAAAATAACTAAGTGCATTTACTCACATACTGTATTTAAGTACAGTTTTGAGGTTCTTGTACTTTAGTGAAGTATGTCCATTTTATGTCACTTTTACTTCCACTTCACTACAGCTCAGAGGGAAATTACCTCCCTCTCTCTCACTCCAGGTACGACTTTGTTGAAGTGGAAGACCAATCAGAGACCAGCACTATAATTTGGGGCCGCTGGTGCGGGCAAAAAGCTCCGCCTAGTCTCAACTCCAAATCTAACATGCTCAGAGTCACCTTCAAGTCTGATGATTACTTCGTAGCAAAGCCGGGATTCAAAGTCTACTACTCTCTGCTGGTGAGACACACACACACACAGAGAAACATCTGAAGATTAATCATGAGCCGTTATATGGGGCACAGCTTAACATTTTGTTTTCTACCACAGCAATGCTCCAGGTAAAATGCTTCTTTCACCGTTTTACTTCCACCTGACAATAAAGGAGAGAGATGATGTGGAGATACAGTGCCTATAAAAAGTATTCACCCCCTTGGATGTTTTACCCTTTTATTGATTTTATAAATCAACCATGGTCAATACAATTTGAACCCATTTTCACTTTGACATTAAAGAGTTTTTTTTGGTAATTTTTTTTTGTCAAAAAAAGCCAAATTATATTGACCTTGACTGAATTATAAAATCCATAAAAGGGTAAAACATCCAAGTGGGTGAATACTTTTTATAGGCACTATAAACAGATGATGGAGGAAAGGAGAGGGAAGATCTAGTAACCCTGTCAGTAAAATGCCAAAGTGTATTAGCCAACTGTGCTTCTTTCACACGTCCACTCGACAGTAGAGGAGAGATGGGAGGCTAGGGCAAGGAGAGCAGGAGAGACGGGGGATGAGAAAGTGTCCTCCTAGAGGCTGTCAAACTAACGGATAGGAAGATTAGCTCTGTCATTCTGTCAGGAAGAGGAAGAATGAAACGGGACTTGGATTTGAAGATGTTCTCCCGCCCTATAATCAGAGGGGAAGGGGAACGGAGAGAGAACAGTGGTGAGACAGAGGCATTTAAACATGTTCCCTGGCTGTCACTTCTTTGAGTTCAGAGAAGAGAGAGAAAGAGAAACAGCATCACAGACAGGGTTGAACTTGTGCCATGGCTTATTATCAAAGGGGAACAAAGTGATATGAACACAGAGTAAAGGAAAAGAAATGATGTAGAGAGTTTGGACAGAGAGAGAGATTTGCTGACAAGCCTTCATTTTTCAGAAGAAACAGAAGGACTGAGAACTTTTTACTGAAAAAATAAGACTGTCATTATTAAATATACTATTGGCCACAAATCTCATGACGAGACCAAGACCAACCAACACCCTAACCTTGCTACCCTTCATGTAGTTCAGAGCCCATTGAATGTAGGTAGAAATAATTAATTTTCAGAAATTTTGTAAAACAACTGGGCACTGCAGTTTTTAGCAAATGCCAACCAACGTGGAGTAAGAGTGCGCTTGTTGGGGAGTGTTTTTAAGCTGTGAATTAATACATATTCGTTATGCTAGCCAATATTTGATTTGTTACTTAGTGTATGAGAGACTGGCTTAGACTAAAATAAAGTGCCCAGTGTTCATCCTAATAAAGAAGCATCACTAAGTGCAATTGTGCAGCTCACAGATGTGTTTTTATTACAACACCAATACCACAGAGGAAATAACTTGTATCAGGATTTAGCAACACAGGCAATACTTGTTATCACAATGGAAACACACTCAATTATAAGTAAAGGTGTTTCCATGCTTTTCTTAACTAAAGGTACAGAGACATTACCATCCAACATAAAAGTACACAACAGTTAGAGATAGCGAGCTGAAGTCATGTAGTCACAGCTGGTTAGCCTCTGTTACACTAGCTTCAGTGACTCTGTAATCTCTCATTTGGCATTTTTTCTTCAGATACTGTAAGAAAACTAAGGGCGTTCCTTGGGATTTTTGTCATGTTCTAAAACAAGCCACTGACCATTACTTTTGTGATTTTAACAGTTATTTTATTTTACTTTTTGAATCAGAAAACTATAGTTCCCGTGGTCACTTCGCAGCATGACGGTAACACATATTATACATCACTGTTATTTACTAGACCCTTCAGGACTTTAGCAGTTCAAGTAGCATAATGTTTTGATTTGATTTGATTTGATTTATTCTTTCAAGCATGTAAAGAGAGTTGATATGTCAACACACATAATTTTACACATATCCAACAAATGCTAATCCAATATCAATTTGCTTATACCTAGTACATGCTTGAATGGAGTAGGAAGAAGTCAGACTTATCCAGTCCTACCCCATGACATCATCTTACCATCATTGGTTTGCAAGCAGTAAATAATTCTCTTCTACACCACACAAGTAATATACTAAAAAAATATAACTTACATTCTTAAATAATTCTCTTCTACACCACACAAGTAATATACTAAAGAATTATTACAGAGTGTTAACATTCATACACCACACCCACAATGTTCCATCTAATTAATCATTAAACCTGTTCTTGCATGTATCTTGATTGACACATACCTTTATATTTATGTTTAAACTCGTCAATTCTATTACTATTTTTTATGTCCACACTTAAATTATTCCATAGTTTTACCCCACTTATGGAAATACAAAATCTTTTTTTGGTTGTACGTATAGCATGAATTTTTAAATTTAACTGACCCCTTAAATTATATCCCCCTTCCCTTTCATTAAATAGTTTTTGAATTCCACCAGGTAATAAATTGTTCCTGGCTTGTTAAGTGTGTGTTTGATATTAGTCGCGCCTCTCTCAAATTATTAAGCTGTACAAAATGTAAGCTGATGTGTTACAGTTACAGCCATTTCATATCTCAAACAGCATCAGCTGGTGACACTTCAGCCACCATGAGCTTGGGCTTCTGTAAAATGATTAAAGCCCGGTCATACAACTAAATATTAGTTTAGTGATTCACAGGATTGCTAAATCCTAGAAACAAAAACGTTTGTACAACATAGTTTTGTGTTTGTACAGTCAACGGCAGACACTGCTATTTTTTTGAACACACCCCTTTCAACTAATTGCCCAATTGCACAGCCTTAAGAGCGTGCATATCATGAATGCTGGGTCTTGTTTGCTTTCTGAGAATCTACTGCACCTACTGGTAACTTGTTTGCCATGTAGCAATAAAAAATATACTAAAAACCTGGATTATTCTGGTTAGTCACATTGTACTGCTATTATTTTGAACAATACTGTACTATTGAAAACAGCTGTGTTCCAAGGCTGGATTTTTAGTTATTAGACAGATTAGTAACCTCAATAGGATTTTGAATAGGGTTTTCTTCATTCCAGAACACAGAAATTCTGGTTTCACTTTGGGCTTTCTAACATTATTAGTGTTATTGTTATTACTAGTAGTAGTAGTAGTAAGGTAGTGTTGGTTTGTTAAAGGTACAGTAAAGTAGAATTGTTATTTCCCATATGTATGTGATGTACTGTGCAAAGCATTTGAAGCTACACAAAACATCAACTAACAGATGTAACTCACAATAGCTAATTCAGATTATTTCTATCTGATATAAAACATCATGACTGAAGTGGCATCTGTATTAAATGCAAATAAAATCACTGTGACTGCAGAAATGCAGACAACCTCAAAGCCCCACACCATAAAAAAATCTGTGTGTCCAGCCGTAGGCTGGCAACTCTCAAACATGGTAAATGATGTGAAGGCAGCAGGCACATCTGGCAGACGTAAACTGTGTGAGCACTTACTGTAACTACCCCAACCAAAAGTACTAGGGAGGTTCACGTTCAACAGAACATAATGACAAAAAAGTAAACGCGCCTCTAAATATAGCCCAGTACTTGACTAAATGTACCTACTTACTCTCCATGACTGCATAAACCACAAACAACACCCTTATCTCTCTTTCTCAGACACCTGCTACTTTTGTCTTCCTTCCTGCTCTGTTTGTTATTCCTCCTCTGGTCAAACAGTCACCAGTCTGTACATTTAAAACAAAACCCAATTCTAGAGGCAGACCTTATTCGATCAGCTCCCTTGAACGTGCACTTGTGCCTTTCCATCTTTCTCACACACACAGCTTCCCTTCAGGTAGACTGAGGCTCTGTGTGTGTGGCTTAATTTAGCAGGTCTAATTTGTTCTCCCCAGACCTGTCGAACAGATAAGAGGGAGGAGGAGGAGAGGCAGAGAGAGAAAAGGAGTCAGAGTGAGGAAGAAAGAAAACGAGGAGAAGCAGCGCTGGAAGGAGAGAACAGGTGTCTCAGATGGTATCAGCATGCCAGCTAATGACTAAAACAACCTGAACTGAGAGAGACAGAGAAGCAGTTGTTAGGTAGTTAGAAATATAGTGGAGGGAGTTGGACTAGATCAAAGAGAAGAGAAAGTAAAACAGTGTCAGTGTAAGAGAGCGAAAAAGAAGAGTGGAGTCACATTGAGGTGTACTGGGAAGAGAGATGAATAAAGACCAAAACAGAACTATTTTAGAACTAAACTCCCACCATGTTTCAAATCTGCATGTCACCGTTTTACACCTGTCATCACTTTGGCCAAATCAGTCTGATCTCTGCCTGGGCCACCACATTGCTGCAATGTCAGTGATCTTTCTTTAGCTTTAACCACTTTGCGTCTTTGGATAACTACATTTCAAAAAAGCAAAGATGAGCCACACTAAAAACACAAAGTATAAATCAAATACTTTTTTTTTTTCTAGAGGTCACTTCTTTGGTTTTTGGTAGATATTATCATGCTGATGTGTTTACAATTGGTCATTTTTCTTTGCAAGTTTGTTTTTATTAAGTTATTTCACGATATATATAAAGAGGTGTATTTTAGTTGATTTGACAGCTTTGAATGGCGGCCCAATGCTCTCACTCCACTTCCGGTCGCTACTGAAAAAAAAAAAAAAAAGATTGCACCATATTCACAATATGTTGGCTTCACTTATGTTTTTTGTTGTGCTGTGTGTGTTTCTAACCCAAGTGCAGGTATTGATATAAAAGTAAATTTGATAATACAGTATATTCACTACCAGCCAATGATTTGGGCACACTTTCTCAGTCTATTCAATGGGAAAGTGTGTCCAAATTTTGTATGGAAGTCTTAGTCTCAACATCACTACAGTTTTAATGTCAGTCACCAAGAGACCATGTCAAAACCGATACATTTACAATAATATACTGCAGATGAAGAGCATGATTATCATAGTAAACTACAAGAAAAGCCACAGTACAGCATGAAAAGAAGCATTTTCATGGCATTACCTTGAAAATTAGCCTAGACTCAGACATGGATGAGGCAGCATAAATGTAGCCACTGTGATTAATATACAAACTTCTCTGGCTATAAGCATGATGACTGGTCGACAGGGAACTGCTCTTGCCTTCCTTACCATCTACCACACACACTTAATCCTCAGATGCTCTAGTGCCCAACTGTACAAAATGGAGGTTGAAAAGGGCAGCTTCCCAGTGTCCCCACCACTAGACTGCTACTGTAAATAGAAATTTGTTCCTTCACCACCAGTGAATAAGGCAGTATTGCTCAAAATATTACTTTCACCTTCACAAAGTGAAGAAAAAGTATATTCAAAGACAGCCCACCTACAATGAAAAAGATCCTTGTATGTCCTGTTGACTACTTTTTATATTTGAAGCTGGAGATGCAGATGTAACCGCCACATTTTACAAGCTCCATTTCTTAACATTACCACATGACATTTGCAGAGGCTTTAATCTACATCTTCTGCCAGTTCTAAAGTTTGAGACACCACAAAAATCCAAAATGCAGAAATGTTAGGTTTCATGATTATATTGTTGTATAACAAAATTTTAATCAGTAAATCTGTGGTTTATTACCTCCGTTGGGTGCTCTTACACCTGAGCCTTTTATTTGATTCAAACAAACTGTGGTGCAGTTACCCGTTTGGTTCACTGAGGTTAGTGTAAAAACTGTCAAACCAATTTTGAAGAAAATTAAATGGGTTTTTGTTCCAACAAGTCCTCCAGACTTCTCATACTACCCATAAGGGCATCTAATTAAATAGTGCTCCTACTGTCACAGGAGGAATTGCAACAACTTGTCACACTACCAAGCTTTATGGACCTACTGTATGTCATCCTGGAAACAGACACATGGCTAGCTAGCAGCAAGCTACTGGAACTCTTAGAAACTGTCATAAATATAATGTTATGATTATGAAACTGTATCGTTTCAATACATTTGCCACGCAAAATGCTTGATTAATCACACAAGTTACTTGGTTAGTTTTAGGAACAAAACCACAATGTTTAGGAACAAAAACACAAGCCACACAGTGAAACTGATCTTGGCTCTCCCTCGAGGGAAAGTCCTGCGTTTCGTGTCCCTATCCATCCACCCCAACCTCCTCCTAACACGCACCTTGCGCCTCTATATAAAGTCTCATGTTACTTAGTCCTTTCTTCGTGTCACAATTAATACGCTTGCTAGATGCTGACAAACTATAACATGTAACATTTCGTTGTAATAACCCGCTGGAACAAAGGATGTATACTGTTGTATTTTACAGGAGGACAGTCTCCTCTGCTCAGTTCCTGTCAGACTCATTTGGTGTGGTTCATTTATGAAAACTGACCAGGCACGGAAGCAATCTGTATATCCTATGTCTAAACCTAAACCTAACCTACACTGAGGTTTAATCTGTTTTCTACTGAGGTCTATTTTTAACAAATATATACAGTACATTGCATATTCATATTTCATTCAAAAAGAACGCATAACAATAATAGAAACATATTTTCAGTCTACATATTCCTTCTGTAAAATCCTTTTTCTGACTAAGTGGCCCAGATGTTCTTGACATGAAGCATTTAACCTTAAAAGGAAATTAGACTAGGAATCTATAAACATGTATACACCCATACACACTCACAGGAAACCTTCTGACCTCATTTACAGCTGGTTTGGGTGTGTGTTTATGTGTACGAGTAATTTATCCAAAGGGAAAATGTGAGAATATGTTCAACAAAAACCTCAACACTGATGTCAATACGATCATATTCCCACACACAGACACGTTTTTAT